TGTCATTACCTGTGAAAATCAGTATGGTATGTATTAAGAGCATTACAGTTACATTATGAATAAAGAAAAGAAATACTAAATTATTATTAATAGTGTTATTGTAATGTGTGATCTGAAGACAAATAAATTTTATTATCTTCTCTAGACAGATAGAGTTGCTGAGTCTGTCGCCGATGTTGTCCTTCAGGGGATGAAACTTTAGATTTCGTCAACCCGTACTGTCTACAGACGGCAGATCCTAGTATTGGTTTGGACGCTCCTGCAATATTGCATCATGGCAAAAGCAGGAGTCTTACAAAGCCTTGGTTGACCGGTACCGGTCATGGTCCATCCGTCCACCACTAGCACACTCAAAAAGAATTACAACTCTGTCTCCAGCTCCTTCAAAAGGGTCATCGCTAAGGCAATGTCGGAGCACATTGGGAGAATCCGCGAGAAATTAGTTAGCCTTCCTTCGCGTACACTTGCGTTATTTATCCCTCGGCAATTTAGTATTCATATGTATTTTATTTGCCCCGAATACATACTTTTTGATACTTTTAACTAAAAAATTCTAAGAAGAATTCTGGGTTGTCGATTTTTATACGCTAATATCTACGCTGACTATTAGCTGTATATATACATCGCTGAATGAAAAAATTCATTCTTTCGTACAGCGGTATAAACTTGGCCATAATTTTCATTTAATTTCTTTCTTCCTTCTATAAAATTTAACATACTACGAGTATCATGACTGGTATCAATACGTAAAGTGAGACATTGTCAGCTCCCGGTAGATATTAATTGTAGAAAGGCTTTGTGTTCTGTGGTTCTGTGTGTCAGGCTGATTAATTTGAGTCTACTGAGACCTCAGAACAATAACCAAAACATGTAAATAAAACTAGTTTTTGCAGATTTATCGCGTATATTTGCTTAATTTATATTCTCGACATTTCGAGCACTTTACAGCACCCACGGTCACCGGGAGGACTGAGGTTTTCGACTTGTCAATGTCATAATTAACCACAGCTATCTATATCTACATAATAAAACTATTAATTTTTCGTCCGATTTATGCAGTATGAACTTGTAATATTTTGAAGACTTGCAGTTGTATGCTTGGGTTGGTATTAATTTTATTAATTATAGGACCCCAAGCAGATGGTCGCACCCAGCCATCTTCTCTATTGAAATTAAGATTTTTTTGATTTCAACAGCCTCGCGCATTCTCCTTGCAAGGAAATGGTGTTATTTACCGAAGATTTGTGGTCTTTCTATCAAATCTGATGGAGTAACGGCGGTTATTCTTTACGTGTTCACAGACTGCAGACTTCACCGAGCTTTGATTCATCACATCAACTTTATGTGTTCTTTGACGACGGTTTTTATTAATATTTCAGTTTGTCCTCTGTAAGAGAGACCACATTCATAATCAAGCTTCTACACTCTCGTATCCTCTAGAGGGATATTACACTTGACTGATGGTGAAAACTGACTAATCTTCTTCGGCAGCTTGAAGTATATTTTGGTGTTTGAAAGCACGTTCAAGACAAAGCTAATCTTGTCTGTGATACCTATGACACATGGCAGTATTGCAGGCGCACGCTCGACTGTGGCCGGCTTCAATCATATACTGTAACGTAGGCGCGGGACCCGAAATTTGTTGTCGTGCAAAATTTGCTTGACGTGTTGAGTTCGGCGGCCAGGTGTTTACTGTCACAGAACTCTCGTGCTCTCTGGAACAAAGATTTACTCACGGTAGCTAACAGTGAAGAATCACTATTTAAATACCCATCTGTACGAGTCTTGTTTCTTTATACAATGTGCGTCAATGTTTTATCAGGATTCCAAATTACTAAGCTGAAGTCTTTTGTGACCCTGGGAAATGGGTTGACGCTAGCTACAATGTTTCTGTTTCACTATTAGTGAAGTTACTATTAGGCTTTTAAGAAGCCCGATCTGATTAGATTTAGCTTTTGATAGCATTTTGTGTAGTCTTGCACTGTGAGGCAAAGACTCAACTTCCTTGCATTGCTTCCTCCACGATGCTCTCTTGGCTTTCCTAATTTCTTTATTATATTCAGTTAGGGCTGCACTATAAATAACCCACTCTTTGGTTTTCTTAGCCCTATTAAATAGTTTCCTGGTCTTTTCCCTAAGTTCTTTTAGCTTAGTATTTCACCAAGGAACTTTTCGTGTTGAAATCCTGGTTTTGACGGGACTACTGTTCTCGAAGGCTTCACGAATACCTACGGTTACTGTCTCCGTCGCTAACTCCAGACCTTCAATCGTTTTGATGCTTTTAGGAAACGTTTCCGAATTCCTCCTTAGGCTATCTCTGTAGATATCCCAGGAGGTTGCTTTTGGATCCCAATGGTTTCATACGTTGATGATGCTCCAATCACAAACTTAATATGTTTGTGATCAGACATCAAGTTTTCACTACTAATATGCCAGTCATTTATCCGCCTGGATATGTTATTAGTAGCAAAGGTCATGTCTAACACTTCTTGCCTAGCACTTGTCCTACCTTGCCTTAGTGCTTATGGAGTTTAGAGATAAGGAGAACAAACTCTGTATAAAAAGGTGTCCGTAGAAAAGCGCTAAATAGGGGTGGCACCACTGTAGCTACAGTGTAAATTTTGAAGAAGTTTTTATTTTTTTATAATAATTATTTTATTGTTTTCAAAATTTTTATTTTCAAAATCACTCTTAACGTATTTTATAATTGGCGATTTTTCATACCCTGTAGCTACTCGAGCGCTGTTGTGGAGAGTTTTTGAACCGTTATTTACTGCTTACAGATAGACACATTTTCAACTATTCTCCTTCGAAGTAAACCTGTATTCAAGTTATACATAATCTGATAGCTTATTTAAAAAAGTTTCCATTGATATTTGATTTTAATATATCTTTCATACAAAATGTCTTGGAAATAGTAATTTTAATGAACAGCAGGAAGTAGTCTGGAAGTACTTCAGGAAGCGCTTGACAGATGCGCCATATTGACCAAAATGGCCGCGACATTCGAGGGGATATGATCTGTTTATTTAAATTTTATTTTTAAAATTATTTAAACTATAAGAACCATGAAAAAACAATTTTGATTTATTTTTTAATTTCGCACTTTGTTAGCGTTAATTTGTATAGGCAAAATAACTCATATCCAAGGCCGCGCTGAAAAAATACTACGTAACTCCAATCTCTCGCCATTTCGGGAGCATACTGTACGTACTTTTGTAATATTCTGCCTTCTTATTTTGTAACCCGGCTGTAACTTTTTAGACCGATTCTTCTATATTCGTGGACCTTGGCAAGTTATATACTGGATTCTGATTAAGCAAGTAACCATAATATCGAAAAGAGGACGTAGCTATGGTAGTTGTACCTTAAACAATCAGGTTCGCGCATTGGTGGTAAAATTAAACGAATATTTTCATCGTGAATCAAAAACGGTGCGCCCCGTTTACTAGTAAAAAGGTGCCGATGGGAAAAAGTGGCCGTTTCATAATTCGACGGAGAAGGATTTGCAGAAAATGGTTTATTAACCTTCCAATCAAAGAGTATAAGAGTACTAGTAGGAATGGAATGGTATCATAATAATGGATAACGCCCCGTATCATTCTGTCCAAATTCAATTCAAGCGCTAACCAAGCGAATAAAAAAGCTGATTTAGTAGCATGGCTACAACACAAAGGAGTGCAAGCGAACATACAATTATTTATAGCAGAGCTAATACAATAATTAGTAAAGCGAAATAAACTACTAAATAAAAAATAAACTACGTAAACTTTTGTACATTATTGACGAATTAGCAGAAGAGCACGGGCTAAGACTGGCAACATACCACTGCCAAAATAATGCTGTTGAATGTATTTGGGCCCAAATAAAGGGTTAGTTCATAATATATGGAATGCTCTGAGTGCAAATATATTAACTCTACACATGAGATGAAAATATCTTGTGCTTTTATAGACTATTCAGAACGTCAAAACACCAAGCCACCTTTATTGAGAAGATTTTGATTCGTAAAAGTGATGCGATTTTGTGAATTAAGTGTCCGCGCTTTGAACTATTATAAATATAGAAAAACGACAACAAACAAGTGCTTTGATGTCGATAAAAGCCTCAAGTAATTTTGATCGCTTGGATGCCTTATGAACTTAAGTGGCTGTCGTCATCAACTGTCCGCTAGATTGAGCTGTTGTCAAAATCTCCCAACTGCTTCGTAATCAGCATATGGTGAAGAAAAAATATATAAAATGAAGATTCCGAAAGAAATGATAGACTCAGAAAAGCCAGAACCCAGAGCCGTAAAAGACAGTTAATTAAAAAAGCAATAAGTCTGACAGCTGTCAAAAAGATTAGGTTTGGTTTAGTTGGCCACAAATTATAAGACTAAAGCAAGCTAGAAGCTAGTGCTTTTTGGTGTTTAGAATACATAAACTAATTTATTTTTAATATTTCTTTGAGAAGATAATGCTAAATGGAAGACTTGCAGCTAAGTAGTAGTAATCGCTGTGAATTTACTTAACAAGAATTTTTATAATCAAAGCAGTCTACTGATTTTTAAACTTTTAGAAATAAAATTATTGAAAAAAAAAAACAAACATCACCGATGTGTTGTAATTTATGTGTTTCATATATCCCAATTTACAGATTATAGGAGGCTAAATGTGTATCACTACATCAATTTAATTCTACAGTTTGCTTTATACTAAGTGAGTCATATTGATAAATAACTATTTTATTTTATCTGTCTATATTTATATAACTAATTTTTAATTGGTATACTGGTAAATTGAAACCTTTGCAGATTTATAATATAGTGTATGAATAATTATTGCTTACAAATTTATTAATAATTTGATGATTTCTTTATGATTCTCTCTATATATATATCTGTAATGATTTGATGATTTACAATTGATAATCAATTGTGTATATTGTTTGCAGGAGTAATCTTTGCTGTATAACAAAGTAGTCATGCAAATTTTCGAAAAGAAGATAAACCACACAAAATGTTCAAAATTGAATCTTATGTTACTCCAATATTGCTGAGCTATGTTGATAAATATGTACGAGACTTTAAACCTGCAGATGCACAAGTAAGATTAAAAAATAATCAATACTTTGTTCCTGATAACTGGTATAAGTGGAAACAGGGAAATACATAGTAGGATAAGGGTATTCTGAGACATGGTGGTATAACCTATTTCATGTTTATACCAGAATGTAAAATATTATTGTCTATGAGGGATTTGTGAGACCATTTGTGTAATTCTCAGCTAAGACACAATTTACATGACGGCAGCGTTCTTAAAGTTTCACTACAAGCTCTTGTATAACTTTGAGTCTCTAAGAAGGATAACTATCACCATACTTGATAAGCACATTGGCAAACTGCTTGTCAAGTATGGTGATCATAGAATGGTGATATAGTACTAGACATTTCACACCTCTGAGTAAGCTTTTTATCTAGCAGTTTGGGTATTTTACATCTGGTTAAAATACTAGATAGTTTTACACTTATTTATGGCTTTTACTAAAAATGCCTTTTTACCTTTTGAAAAGGCTTAGTATTTTAATATTAAAAGACACCTCTACAATCCCGAAGTCATAATGTTGGTATGCAGTAGAGGGAATTACACTTGGGGTTTTGTTGGTCGATAATGTTTATATTAAACAAATCTGTAGGAGCACTTAAGTGACTGGCATACATATTTCTAGTGTTCGACTGAGGCTTTCATTCCAGCCATCTTGGCCAAAAAAGACACTATCCTTTGGCAAAAATCTACCTGGTTTAGCTAGACCCTAAGGTAGCTCTGCTTCTCTGGTTTTAAGCTACTGCCGCCTATGTGGAAAATTGATGTGCATAACTCACTTTCCGTACAATACATCTCATAACCACTCATTGGTACAAAAATAACTAAGTAGTTCCAATTCTTATTAGAAATATCTTTCTTCATTAGTCTATAAAAGTCCACTGCTGGACATACTCATAGAACATTTGCCTTAATTGTCACACACGCAAAACAGCTTGACAATCTTAGTACCAAAATTCTTGTACATTTGATAACTGCACATCACCTGTGAATGTATTTAACTTCTAGCATTACAAGATGGTTATACTGCGTTCTGTCGAACACTATAAGATATCTACAATATCCCGGGGGGACGAACTAGTGTTATGAAATTCTTGTATGCTACTGGGCTGCTACTTATATTTTTTTTAAATACATCAGCCTTTCAAATTATTTCTGGGGGGTTTAAAACCTTATCTATTTTCACTGTGCTATTATCCTGTCAATTTGGAGAAATAAATGTTAAGAGGAGAAATAATGTAGAGTTAAACATCTTGAATTGATTATCATTGTGTCATTTTATATCAGGTCTCACTATGGGGAGGTGGAGTAGCCCTTCACAACCTAGTCCTCAAGGCAGATGTTTTGCAGCAAGAACTTGCTCTGCCTTTCACTCTTGTGTCAGGCCGCATTCATGAGTTGCTTATTCAGGTGCCATGGACCAAAATTATGTCAGAGCCTATTATTGTCACCATAGACACAATAGGTAAGTGTAAAATAAGGGAATGTAAAAGCCTTTTTACATTTCATTTTTTAAAGATAGACATAGTATAATTTCTTTATGTATTTAAAAACTTATGTGGTAAAATGTTGTCTTCATATAAATCAGATACCTTACTGTTAAAAATTAAAGCATTAAATAAAAATGTGAATGATATCTTAAATTTACGTGAACACTACACATTGAATAAAACTATTATTTACGGATTTTAACGCATTTAATTAGTTTTACATTTGTAATTATCATACGAAACGTCGGGATTATAAAAATAAATTAAAGTAATTAAACGCGATAAAATTCGTAAATAATAGTTTTATTCACTAAAAATGTGAACATAAAATACAATATCTCAAATCAAGTGCAGTAAGTTTTTAAAAAAAAAAAACGTTACCCCTACACTGGGATTTTCTCCTGTATCATGGGGGTAGTTTACAAACGTAAATTGCACAAGAACAAACACCCAGACCCGGAACAATTATTTATAGGCCATACAAACACTTGCTCCGTGTGGGATTCGAACCCACGACCCCCAGGGCAGCCACTCATTGCTAAGGCACTGTGCCACGGAGTCGTCATAAATAAATATAAATGACAAATTTAGCATACTAAGTTGAACATTAAAAATAATAATTAATCGATTTCAGTGTAATCTGTTGAACAGATTGTCTTGTATTTTTAAAAGTCTATGTTACTTGTGTAGTATCCATGATAGTGATTTGCCTTCACTAAGACTGGTATTTTTCACAATTTGAAACTGCAGCACAGGGCTTTTTTAACTTATTTTCTTAAATTCATAATGTTGGTAAATATTTTATTTATCTTTTTGCATATAATTGCTTTTTTACCCATTGTGCTTACTTAATCTTACTTTTTATAATTATTTTAATTATTGTGCTGTAAGATTAAATTTGGCACTTATATTGAATGAAAGTACTTCTTAATTTTTAAATTATGAGCAAGCAAAACATAAGGCAAGCAACAAATTTTGTGAGAAGCAAAGTCTACTTGGTTACCTAAGTACTGAATATTAAAGATTTACAATGACGGGTTCATTTTTGAGATGGAATTATACATTATCGTTTACTTGCCTTGATTGATATTGGTTCTAACAAACATCAAATGTGTAGAGAAAGTAACTGGTACATTTGTAATTCTCATACAATTAGTTCTAATTTTGCAAGTAAACTGTTATATTGTGGTCTTGTGGTCAATATGGAGCTCATGACTTTTTAGAAGACTTTACTATTTGTAGTCTAGGATTTGGCTATATAATCCTATCTCAAGAATGCATCATATTTATATGGCAATTGTATATTTTTATTCTAATATTATTTTTTTTAATACAGAATGTATCCTAAGTCTCCATCCACCACCTGAAGAAAGTCCACCACCTGAATCACCCAGGTAACATAAACTATAAATTTCTTGTAATAATAAACATTGTTAGTTGTGAAATAACAGGAAGGATGATTGTTGATTCGTGTGTGTGTTTTTAGTGATAGTAATAAAATAATAAGGTATGAGTCTAGTGAAATGAGGTAAATTTTAACATTCAACTTTGTATTTTTGATATAATGTAGTTTTAATGTTACCAAAACAATGTGTAAAGGTTTTCGTTTGTGCAACCCCCGGCAAGGGTTGCAAAAATATTGTTTTTTTTTCACAATTACTCGAAAACAGTAAATATTAGATAAAAAAGATCTAATAAAAATGTGTAGAGCATAAAATTATACATAAAAAGGTTTAAAGTTTCTTTCTTCCGGTCATAATTAACTAAGTTAGAGTGATTGTCCACCGCCGCCGTAACAGAGACGTCAACGAGAACGAGATGACGGCGCCGACACATACATTTTTTTTTATAGAATAAGGGTGACGAACGAGCACACAGTCCACCTTATGGCAAGTGGATGCTGTGACCCATAGACATCTAAATTTATCCTCGATTAAGAATCAAAATGCAGATGCGTTGTCAACCGTGAGGACTAAGATGGAACACCTCGTTTCCAGTAAAAAAGGGTCACCGGATCTCTACACTCACCACACGAAACACGCAGCATTACACTGCTATTTTACGCTGGTATTGTTATTTATATTATTATGAGAGCGTTGTCCCTCCCCGGTCGAGCCGACCTACTCGTGCTACAACCATAATATAGCTTCTGCGTTCTACCACGTAAAATACATACTATACATTAACTATAGTCCAACACAAGCCCGTCACCCGAAAAATTTAGAGTAGATTGGCGCAACCGCTAAAACTCGTTCCGAGATTGTGACGAGCCCATCAAAATATTTTTAAACTTATCTATCCACGCCAACTCCTTGACGTCGCACTGAGCCGGTTTTTCTTTTCTAGCTATTATTTGACTTTTTAAATCAAAAATATATTGTAATAAAAATAAAGAAGAAATTTATATACGACGTTTATTTATTAATATAACTTGTAGAAAGTAAAGAATGCTACTATGGGATAAAACCAACATGTTCAAAGATAAAAGCTTATGACAATTATTTTTACCCTTTTGACAATTTTTCAATCCTTGCCGTGGGTTGCAGACACAAAAAACATTGTGAATCATTAAAACTACATTATATCAAAAATGCAAAGTTGTATGCCAAAATTATGATTTCAGACCTTATTTGACTGTAAATATATATGAGGTTAAAGTAAATTTAATAAAATCATAAATAAACAATTTATTTAACAATATATGTATATTATGATTTCTTATTTATTGTTTCCGATTCTCAATTATTGCCAAGTAGGCCCAATTATATAGGTTATAAATATATACATATATATATATATATATATATATATATATATATATATATACATACATATTTATATATATAAATTAATGACTTACATTACATTACATTACATAGCATATATAGTATACCTTACATACACTAATAATCTCTATGTACATATAGAGATCAGTGCTTACATAGCATAGATAACCATGATATATTATTATTTGCTGATGATACTACATTAATTTTCAAGTTAAAACCACAATTATTAAAATATGATGATGTAAATAATGCTATATCTAAATTAGTAAATTTGTTTTATGCAGCAATTTTTAATTTGTTTTGTGTTGTTAATGATTGCAAGCTGTTTTCTTTTAAAAAGTCATTCTTCTCAGGATAGAGGTTTTTTTAGAACCAGCGGTAAATTAAACAAAGTGACTTTTAATAAGTATTATATTTATAATCTATGATAAATGAAAAAAAAAACTATATTTTTACATTAAATCCGCCTTTTGCATTCTTTTGATAAAAAAAATTCACGCCTGTATGTGGGATCTTTTTTAATGTAACTTAGACAACAATTTAGTTGTTACATTATCTTCGGGTGTATAGCTTAGTATACTCAAAATTGTTCTAATAAGTAAAATTATAAATTTGACTTTTTCTATTTATAAATTATTTTCAATAATATTTCCACATAATTTAATAACTTTTTAAGACGTTAAGAGATTTTGTATCGAAGAATTGAAACTCTTAAATTCAAAAGGTATTAAATTATGTAAAGATTATTATAAGGATTGTACTTTTATTAAAAGAACTTTGATTATTGAGTTATATTATAAGATTGCCTTTAATGTAAATTATAAGGTTTCGTATTTAAATCACTTTCTAAAAGATAAATCTGTATAATGGTAGGACTCAAGTGGTGGAGGCGCCGCCGGGATATATGCGCGCATTGGTTCGGAGAGTGGTGAGCAACATTGCTCTGCGCGTACACCATCTCATCGTGAAGTATGTTCAAGATGATATTGTGTTGTCATTGAATGTCAAGCACTTGGCAGTCGATAGCGCTGGCCCGGACTGGCAACCTGCCTTTGCTGGTGAGACAATTAATAAAATGTATTTGCTTAATTATACCTTGTCGATAAATGCATTGTTTTTGTAAAAGGACACGAGTTTCTAATTTGCAAGTATAATTTTGGCAAATCTTGGTAATTAAAGAAACCATTTACTTTCAAAGACTTTGCTAGTGCACTCTACTATAGGCAATATTAAATTTTTTGATTTGTATGATGGGGTTAAAAGGCTACACACAGACAGACAGGTAGAATAAATAAATAAAAATAAAGTACTTGGTTATCTCGATCAATTAAAAGACATTGATACATCGAATCTTGCTTTACTTTGCAAAACATCGAATAGGTACCGTTCGTTAATATTGAGGTACTTCGTGTGTTAATGTCTTGAAACGATTTTTAAAAGACAAATTTCGAAAATAGAATGAGCTCTTATTTAATTTCTTTCTTTAAATATTTTGAAATTGGAATGTTAAATATTTTCAGCTTTTTAGTTTTTTCAAAATGGCGACGAGTAAAGATGTACGTTCTAAGGTGATCACTGTTTAAGGCGGGAAAGAAACCTATGGAGATTTCCAATCAAATCAAACAGCTAGAGGCTAGTAGAAATTTTGTTTAATATACTTTGAAGAGATACATGGAGACGTTATCAGTGCAAGACGGACGCACAAGTGGAAGACCACACAGCGTAAGTGCCAACATCAAGTTGATACGCGAACGTCTTAGTCGAAATTCTTGCCGCACTCAGAAGAAGCTGGCTATTCGGACGAACATATTAAGAATATCTATCAATAGGATATCGAAATATGATCTTAAAGTAAAGGCCTACAGTCGACGAAAAGTTCATTTTCTCAACAATCACCTTCGTAAATTGCGGTACGATGTTGTTGAAGAGACACCATGCAAAAAAATTCTGTTCACTGATAAGAAAGAGTTATCTTGCTATGGAAGAAAAATTTAACCGACAGAACGATAAAATTTGGGGGATGAGTCGCTCGGGGGGATGAGTCGCTCGCGTCCGTAGGATTCAACCACCTAACTTTAGGCCCCCCCTACACGTGTTCCCCGGTTGGTGCTAAACGAGCGTCAAAGCCGAAAAAAAAATAGACTCGGTTCCTCGCCGTATGGTAGCGGCGTAAAATCTACCACCACCTCTTGTTCGCACCATGACTCAGAAAATAAAAGAAATGGCCCCGAGTTCCCGGCGCCCCTTCAATGGGGCAGGGGTGCGAGGAATCTCCGGGAGAAAAACCGGTGACGAGGTTCGCCACCCGTCACGTTCTGACTCCCGGAGGGGCGAAAAGTGGATTGCGGAAACCCGTCTGGCTACGCTGAATGTATGTGGAGGAATGAATGATAAGATGGATGAAGTATGCGAAATGATGAATGACAGAGGAATAGATGTGTTATGTGTGAATGAGACGAAATGAAAGGGAAAGAATGCCACTGCACATGGCACGTATACCGCGTATTGGTCTGGCGTAGACGAGACCGAACGGGCATGCCAGGGTGTCGGTTTCATCCTTTCAGAAAGAATGGGTCAATGTGTGAAAGAGTATGAATGTGTAAGCCCGAGGCTGCTATGGATACGAATGAAAGTGGTCTTAAAGAAGCTGTTCCTGCTAGGGGTGTACGCCCCGGACATGTCTAAGCCCACTTAAATCCGAGAGCAGTTTTGGGACATGGTAAGGATGGTGTTGACAAAATGTAAGGAAAATGAAAATATTATTATGTTAGGAGACTTTAATGGAAGGGTTGGGGTGAAGAGGTCTGGTTATGAAAGGATATTGGGAACGTTTGGTGATGAAAGTATAAATGAGAATGGTGAAGACCTCCTCACCGTATGTGTGGAAAAGAATCTTTTTGTGACGAATACTTTTTTTCGTCATAAGAAGATTCACATGTATACATGGGAAAGACGTGATGATAGAAGCATGATAGATTTCGTAATTGTGGATGAAAGAATGAGGAGCGCAGTCGTAGATACAAGGGTTTACCAGGGGTCCAACGTAGGGACGGATCATTACTTGGTCTTATGTCGAATTAATGGTCTTTTCAAGCGTTGGCGGCATCGGACATCTGTGTCTACCACTGCGTTACAGCGTATAAGAATAGAGAAGTTACAAGATGAAGATGTGAAAGAGAAGTATAAACTGAGAGGAAATATTAGATGTTTGAATGAGTAGTGTATGAATGATTTAGACTTGAATACTGTGTGGGATAATATTAAGAAAGGTTTGGTGGATGCCGCCACTGAAGTATGTGGTGTAAGTAAGAGAACAAATGAAAGGAAAAGTAATACGTTGTGGTGGGATGATGAGGTACGGGTGGAAGTTGAATCAAAGAAGAAAGCATGGTTAGATTTACTAGCAACCAAAGCTGGTAATTCTTCTGGTATGAATGATGAGATTGAAAGAAAAAAGGCAGAATTTAGACGTCTAAATAAGAGAGTAAAAGAAGTCGTTGAAAGGAAAAAGAAAGAAAGAACGGATAAGAATGATAGAAGGATATCTGATAATTTCCAGGCTAATATAAAAATGTTCTGGAAACTCGTAGGAACTGCCAGTGGAAATACAAAACAGCCTATAATGAATGCTATAAGAGACGAGAATGGATGTATTCTGAATGATGAAGCTTCGAATTTAAACAGATGGAAGGAATACTTTGAAAGCGTGTTTATGAGTGAAGAGTCGTCTGAATTAAATGAACTAGAAATTCCGAAAGAAGTGGAAAGGGGTATGGAGATAAGTGTAGATGAAATAATGAAAGCAATGAAAAGTATGAAAGCAGGTAAGGCAGCTGAATATTATAGAGTATCACTCGAGATGCTAAGGGCTGGAGAGGGAGTGGTGGCAGGCCTGCTTTACACCTTGTTTAATTTATGTTGGGAATTAAAACGGGTACCGGATGACTGGTGTAAAGCAGTTATAGTACCAATATATAAAGGAAAAGGGTCACAGCAGGACTGCAAAAACTACCGTGGTATCAGCTTGCTTAGTATTGTGGGTAAACTGTATGCTAAGGTGTTAATTGAAAGAGTTATGAAAGAAACTGATGGAAAAATTTGGGATGTGCAAGAGGGTTTTAGAAAGGGAATGGGGTGTACAGATCAAGTCTTTTCCATGCGCATGATTGCGGAGAAGTTTTTGGCCAAAAACCAGAAAGTTTTTTGTGCGTTCATGGACTTGGAAAAGGCTTATGACAGAGTGGACAGGAATGTGTTATGGCAAACACTGAACTCATATGGGTTGAGCGCTGGTTTGATACTACAGGCATTAAGGTCTCTTTATAGGGACTCTAGTGCTTGTGTCAGGATCATTTTGTATGCCGATGATCAAGTCGTATTTGCGTCATCGGCGGCTGAGTTGCAAATGATGGTTACATTAATAAACTGGGAATTAAAAGAAAGGGGAATGAAAGTGAACGCAAGTAAGACGAAAGTGATGGTTTTTGAAAGAGAAGAAAGCAAAACGGTATGTGAAATAAGAATAGAAGGAGAGTTAATTGAGCAAGTGGATGAGTTTGTGTATTTGGGATGTGTATTTAGCAGGGATGGTAGATATGATAGGGATATAGAACGACGAGTAAATGCAGGGAACAGAGTGAATGGGGCACTACACTCTATTATGAAGAACCAGAATGTGTCAAAAAAGGCACGTATGGTAATTCATAATGCTGTGTTAGTCCCTACTTTAATGTATGGTAGTGAAAGCTGGGTGTGGCAGAAGAAGCACGAAAGTAGAATAAATGCTGTAGAAATGCGGTCTTTAAGTAGTATGCTAGGGTTGAATCTGAATGACAGGGTGAGAAATTGCGTGATAAGAGATAAATGTGGTATGCAAGATGATGTTGTGACCAGGATTAAGAAAGGAATGCTTCGGTGGTTTGGTCATGTAGAAAGAATGAATGAGGAAAGAGTGACAAAGCAAATTTATATGGCAGATGTGAACGGCCGAGTCGAGAAGGGACGCCCTAGAAAAAAGTTTATCGACCAAATTGGCGATATTTTGAAAAGGGGCCACGTTAGAAGTACCCTTAACCGACGAGCATGTATGCGTAGATATATGGATGTAAAAAAAGTAGTCTCTGCCTACCCCTCTGGGTGACAGGCGTGAGTGTGTGTATGTATTATTTTATTATGTATGTAACGATAAAATTTAGGCAAGAAGCTCAAAAGATGTTCCTGCTCAGGCAAGAAATATTTTTCGGACGCATCACCCTGCAAGTATCCTGGTTTGGTGTGGTGTTTCTGATGAGGTTATGATTATGGTTATGATGAGGGGGTCACTGCACTCCATTTTGCATTCGCAAATTGCGAATGCAAAATGCTGTCGAATGTTGTTGAAGAGACACGATGCAAAAAAATCTCTTCACAGATGAGAAAGAGTTACTGTGCTATAGAGGAAAAATTTAACCGACATAACGATAATTTTTTTTCTTATAAAAGAGGGGGCAATCGAGCATGCGGCTCACCTGATGTTAAGTGACTACCCTCTCCCATGTCAACCGCAACACCAGGGGAATTGCAGGTGCGTTGCCGGCCCTTTAGAAAGGGATAAGCTCTTTTCTTGAAGGTCCCTAGGTCGTATCGGGCCGGAAAAATCGCCGGTGGTAAACTATTCCACAGAGAAGTCGTAAGAAAACTACTTGTGAAGCGTACAGTGGTGGACGACCAAGTACCCAAATGGTGTGGATGGTATCGGGACGTTTGCCGCGTAGTGCGTTCACGAAATATGGCGGCTGGGATTAATACAAACAATTTCTCAGAGCACTCCCCGTGGTATATGCGAAAGAAAATGCAGAGATGCAAAATCTCTTCGTAGCGCCAGTGAATCGAGCCGATCGGAAAGCACTCGGTCATCGATGATTCGAGCCGCTCTGCGCTGGATGTGGTCAAGTGGAAGGAGCTGGCGCAACAACGTTGGGATCGTCCGGTGAGAAGCAAACCCGCCCCCAAGGGTAGGATGCAAAGAAAGACCGCATCCTATCCCAATCGGCTGACCTATAGTGCCAAACACGGCGGCAGCCTGCAGAATGCAACTGCGATTTCAGCGTGAGTGGCACTATACTCCGCACAAGACAATGGTCCGAGGAGCCTAAAGGGGCGTCGACGGAAATCAGATATCCGTCCGATCAACAACATCTGGAATCCGCCTAGGCGAAGTAACCAGTTGTGTCAGACCATATGCCAAGGCAAAATCATGAACCATTCAGCGTGGTGGGCGTTAAAATTGCCGAGGATCACGACTTTGCGGAGGGGATCTGCTGTAGCAACGAATCTGTAGCCATTTGGACGTGGTCGAAGAGTCGGTCTGTTTCGGTATTATTTCGGGTAGGAGAGATACGAAGCATCAGCTGGAGAGGACACCTGCGTCTCGGTCAGAAAGTGCAGAGCCGGCCTCGCCGTCTCGAGATGGTAGTGGACGGCGTTTAGATTAGAGTGAAGTCCCCTGATATTGCAGGAATTCACGGACAGCGTGGCAGGGGTCGCCTTGGTCTTGTTGCTCCGTTTGCCCCGAGTAGTTGTAGTCTTGAGCGGAATTTTGGCCCCCCCCAGAATTCGCGGGGCAGCCTGATCACATCACCCATGCTCAGCAGTGGGGTAACTTGGTCGTGGATGCTCAGCGAGGGATTCTCCAGGGGTGCTGGTACCCTCCTGGGGTAGTCTAACATTTAATTCCGCTACCATGTTGATTGGGGTGGGGGGTGGTGAATTGGGTCTCCGGCCACCTGTACTCACCAGACGAAACGCGGACGCAGAGCTTCCACTTCACGCCGGTATTCTTTGAGGTCGTGGTACCACCCTGGTTTAAGCCGGCCCATACGTGCAATAGCAAAGCTGCCGCGTGGCTCTACCACTGTTATCATTAATTCGATAAAATTTACGCGAGAAGCTCGAAAGATGTCTCCGCTCCAGCAAGAAATATTTTTCGGACGCATCACCCTGCAAGTATTATAGTTTGTTGGTGTGTTTCATAGAGGGGGTCACTGCACTGCATTTTTGCGAACCAGCCCAAAATTATCAAAAAGACATTTTGGAAGCGGTAGTAAAACCGCTGTTCACTACCCTTTTCGATGATAAACCTTGGATTTTTCTACAAGATTCGGCGCCGTCACACAAAGCCAAGTCAACACAAAATTGGCTTAGGAAGAATTTACCAGGCTTCATCACAGCGGAGGAGTGGCCATTATCAAGCCTGGACTTTAACGCGCTGGATTACGCTTTATGAACAGAATCGGAACTCAGGGCCTGCCGAAAAACTCACCCCAATCTGGAGTCACTGAAGCGCGCCTTGGTCAGAGAATCAAAGCACACAAAAATACCCATTGATCAAGTCCGTGCCGCGAAAGATGACTGGCCGTTAGGGCCTGTATTCAGATACGAGGCGGGCATTTCGAATAATTATGTTAGCTTTAATATTGTGGACCCACTTTTTGCATATTAATTAGCGTTAAATTAAATGATCACTTCTAAGCTGTTTCTAAAATGAGTTTTTTAGTAACAACCTACTTTTATTGAGTAATATTGCTGCAATGCTGGTTATTTCAGTTGAGCTCCCGTTTCTTCCATTAAAATAATTGAATGTTCAAATGTTTTCAGACATCGAACAAAGCGAGCCGGCACTGCGGCGGCTCGTGCGGCTGGACGACCTCACTCTGTGCCTGGACCGCGCCGATGCCGACGGCAAGATTCGCTTCTACCAGGAACCACTTCTCTACCGCTGCCAACTCGACTTCAGGTCTTTCTCATTTACATCTTTTATACATTTACAATGACAATTCAAATTATTCATCTTTCAGGCTTTTTCAGAATGGATGATAATAGATAATAGATGATATTCAAAACATCGTCATTTTATGTTTTTTATTAATTATTACCATGCGAATATTATGCTGATTTTGTAATGCTATGTTTTTTAAATATAGAGAATTTCGAAATTGTGCAAATTCGCATCGCAAATTCTGTGTGATAATTAAAGCTGTTGATAATAACATGAAACATATTAATGTGATGGATGTAAACTGGTATTTTGGTGACCTTGCGTTTGCGTGTAATTTATCCAATTACTAGTTGTTTGTTAAATATTATTGAAAGCATTAGCAAATATAATTAATGTTTCAGTCAAACGGAGATTACATGATTTTAAGGAGATGTGACCAGTAAATATTATTTATATTCACTGTTAATATATATTTATGAAGTGTCAGCAACACTTTCATTTTCATTTTTTACTGTTCTAAGCCAGCGCTTAACTACCATCCCAACTGATGGTAAGTGGTCACGCAGCCTAAAACTATTATCATTACAGCCTATCACGAGTTCACTGCTGAACATAGGCCTCTCAAAGTAATGCAACAAAGCACAGTCCCGAGCCAACTGCATCGATCGACTTCCTGCATCTCTTATCAGGTGACCTGGGTACTCTGCGCTTATATACTTGTACGAGGCTGCAACGCGTGAATATTAAAAAAATATGGACCCATTTAGATTACTTAAATTTGTGAAGCTTTAATGAATTTTATTTAATATAAATATACTCAATATTGACTATTGCTTCGCATTAACATTGGAAAGTCGACATTTAAAAGAATTTTACGTTGTTATAATTATAAAACTGCGATGCGAATGTATGTATACTAATATGCCTATTAACAACCTATAATATACTTATCAAATATAATGTGTATCAAAAGCAATAAATAATGATTACACATTTTTCAATGTAGTTGAACTTGAGTGTGACTTATTTAGTTGAATCTCTATTATAATGACGAAATTATGGTGTACCATGGTGGCGGTGTAAGGTCAGAGACCGATTCGTTCCGTGGCTGTCGTGAACGCCGACTGTGGGAAAGGACACTAATGTTTCATGGCTTCGGATAGATACGGTGTAACCCATACCTTTATGTACGTTTGAAATACCCAGCCCAGTGAGGAACGGCTGCGAATGTAAACTTTTACGGGCTAATGAAGGTGCAGGGGCATACCGCGACAAAGTATGAACAATATTAATTATTATTATTATTATTATTACTGGCGGGACGCCACCTACCGGGTCCAACTGTAAATCTAAACTATCGAGGGACCAATTCAAACTCACACACAAAAATTAATCAAAATTCCCGTTTTTGAATTCTAGCAACAGCGAATGATTTATATATATATATATATATATATATATATATATATATATATATATATATATATATATTTTTATATCTAAATATAATATGTACTAATATAATATATACGTTGCGCAAAATAATATTAATGCGAGTGTCCTGAGTGTTGTTCACAGACGAAATAAACAACCAAATTGCGAGTGCAGTAAAAGTAAAGCTTTAGTTTTCTAATTGAAGTTAATTATGTTTATAACTGCGATTATCGCCTCAGCTTAGACCTATTAACAATATTTTATTAACATAACAACATATTCGGACTAACATAACAACCATCTGATGTATGTACCTACATAAGGTGAATTATGATTTAATCCTCTTCCTAGTTGTTGCGAGTAACTTTAGAGTTGAGACAGACATTTGAACTTAAGAGTTGATAGAGAAAAGCCCTAAAGATTTTTATTGTTATCTAATCTTAAAAAGGAGGAAAAAATTATGTAATGCTGGATGTAAACTAAAAAACTACCTAGGCCAATGACGTATAGCATTTAAGACGACAGTTCAAGATCTCAAATACAAATTTAAGTCTAGCTAAATCAAAATCTAATCTAGATTTAGGGCGGACTTCACATGTAATCGAACTATTTTTTTTATTTCTCAGGCATGCAGGTTTCTTCAGGATATTTTCCTCCACCATAAAACACTGCACTTAAAATTGCAATTAACAATTTCATTGGTGCCGGCGAGAATCGAACTCGGGTTGCTTGCGTACAGTGAAGTTTACAGCGATGGCTAAGCTCCTGAGCTATCACATGATAGATACATACATAAACACTCACGCCTGTCACCCAGAGGGGTAGGCAGAGACTACGGACTTCCATTTGGCACGATCCTGACATACCTCTTTCGCCTCCTTTACATCCATATATCTACGCATACATGCTCGTCGGTTATGGGTACTTCTAACGTGGCCCATTTTCAAAATATCGCCAATTTGGTCGATAAACTTTTTTCTAGGGCGTCCCTTCCAGACTGCCATTCACATCTGCCATTTAAATTTGCTTTGTCACTCTTTCCTCATTCATTCTTTTTACATGACCAAACCACCGAAGCATTCCTTTCTTAATCCTGGTCACAACATCATCTTGCATACCAAATTTATCTCTCATCACGCAATTTCTCACCCTGACATTCAGATTCAACCCTAGCATACTCCTTAAAGACCGCATTTCTACAGCATTTATTATACATTCGTGCTTCTTCTGCCACATCCAGCTTTCATTACAATTGTCTAGTACCCATAACACAAGCTCTGCTTAGCTTGGGACTAGATGGCGTTGTGTGATAGTTGTGGAATATTATTAATATTATTAATATTATTACCATACATTAAAGTAGGGACTAACACAGCATTATGAATTACCATACGTGCCTTTTTTGACGCATTCTGATTCTTCATAATAGATTGTAGTGCCCAATTCACTCTGTTCCCTGCATTTACTCGTCGTTCTATTTCCTTATCATATCTACCATCCCTGCTAAATACACATCCCAAATACACAAACTCATTCACTTGCTCAATTAACTCTCCTTCTATTCTTATTTCACATACCGTTTTACTTTCTTCTCTTTCAAAAACCATCACTTTCGTCTTACTTGCGTTCACTTTCATTCCCCTTTCTTTTAATGCCCAGTTCATTAATGTAACCATCATTTGCAACTCAGCCGCCAATGGCGCAAATATGACTTGATCATCGGCATACAAAAGGCATTTGACGGTTAACTCGCCCATTCTTAACCCACATTCTTCATCTATCAAAGTTTGCAAACACCTGTCCATAAACAGGTTGAACAGCCAAGGGGAAGAAGCTACATAGCCCCGTCAGACACCTTTTAGGATGCCAAACCAGTCCGAGTAGACCCCATTGATCCTGACACAAGCACGAGAGTCCCTATAAAGAGACCTTAATGCCTGTATCAAACCAGCGCTCATACCCATATGAGTTCAGTGTTTGCCATAACACATTCCTGTCCACTCTGTCACTCACTATCACGTGATACTTTTGATAATTAGGTAATAATATCCCTGTTAAGTTGAACGAAATATAAAAGGTGGCTTATCCACCTCAAGAAGTCTTGTTTTTCTTAATAACATGTTACCCCTAGACTAGCATTGGTCCTCTTTATCTTAGACGCGTGTTAAATAACAACCAACAACAGACATCCAGATCCGGACCAAAGACCAATTATTTTTAGGATACACACACTAGTTTCTTGCGGGATAAGATCTCGTGGACTCGCCACTCCGCTACTGAGCTGAGAAATTCCAAAAAGTTGAAACAAATTCCCAGCATTAAAATTATGTCACTAATTCGCCTGGCTAGCATGAGTTGAACGAGCAGATCTCGAGGTACGCATGTCGGTAGCGGCATTCTTGAATTATCATTACCACTACGACTTACAAAAGTCTATTGCTGAACATGGGCCTCCCCTGTAGGTTGCCTCATAGATTTTGCCATAGCTGCCATACTTGATAGGCAAGTTGGCAACCGCAGTTTCACATTATTTTTGTTGTTATCACGTGGATGCTGTGGTCCATCTCCTTTTTCGGTTACCTTTTGTCTCTTACACTACATATGGGCTAATGGATGTTCTTACACCGCCACGACACTGCAGTTATATTAAAAGTATAGTTGTAGCACGAACGGCTTGGCTACACCGGGGCAGGAACACGCTCTCACAGAATACCAGCGTAAAAAAGTTGCATAATGCTGCTGTGTTTCGTATGGTGAGTGAACAGATCCGGAGACCCTTTTAACTGGAAATGAGCCATTCCATTAGGCCTTAAAGGTGACAACGCATCTGCATTTTGATTCGTAATTGAGGAAAATGTAGATTTCTATGGGCCACAGCAACTACTTACCATCAGGTAAACTGTGTGCACGTTTGTCAATCTATCTTATAAAAAAATAACATACTATTTGAAGCAATGAATTAAAAATGTTAACAAAGAAAACTAAAAACATTGTATTCAATAACTTTAATCTTTTTTAATTTGTTTTACTTCGCTACGTTTGCGTGTATTATAAATATTAGATCTTTATCTATGAAATTGCCGTTTTTTATGTAATAAGTTACCATATTTTTTTCTATATTTTTATTTATATTAACCAAAGTAATATCACCCATGTAATCGATGCATATTCACCAACGCAGTGGCAGTTTATTGATGCCCTTGTTGAAGAAATCGGCTGGACGGGAGGTTGCAAATTCTTCGAAGGCATTTAATTTTGTACTGCATCTCGAGTAGGTATTGAATTTTTTTCCCACCTATAAATTATCCAAAATCTGGAAAAAGTAGAAGTTTCTAGGCGCGAGGTCTGGTGACTACGGCGGATGTTGGAGAGCTTTCAATTCCAGCACTTGTAACTTGGAGACTGTCTATTGTATTGATGAGCGAAATCGGTCTTGGTCTTGAAAATCGCAAGACAAAGGGAAGTCTGCAGTTTGTGATCATATCCTAGACGGCCCCAACCATTACATCAGATTTGATAGACCACAAATCCTCGCGAAAGAACACCGATTCCTACCAAGGATGATACGTGAGGCTATTGAAATT